AGTGCACTAACTATTAATTGAGTTACAGGTAATGAGCCAATCTGTTTTTCAACTAATTTAAATGCACTTGATAATGGATTATTTATATCAAAGTGCGAAAGATCTACACTGAAATTAAGTGCTCGACTTAAGATTTCTTTTTCTTTTCCTTTTAGTAATGCATTCTCACCACCAAATAATTGCAAAAAATTATTTACTGTTTTTACATTCATTATTTGTTTGAAATCACCCGATATTAAAGCTGTAGCCGTATCAGTATTTTCCATGATTGTTTTAACACATTTCAAACTATTTCCATTTACACCAGCTACTTGTAGTGCAGCTAAGGCAACATTTTTCAAAGAATCAAGATTAATTCCATTTGTAGCTAATTCATGGACAGTTTTAACACCAAAACCAATAATATTAATTGTTTGTGTTGACATAAGTGGTGTAACAAATCGATCTAGCATTCCAAGGCCAAACAATTGTGTACCATAGGAAACAATTTTATTCTTTAAATAATCAGATATACTAAAATCATCTGTAATCTTTGTAACTGGAAAGAAAGAGAATAAAATAATGTAAGAGAATTAGAAGTAAGAACATAATAAGACTTTATTCTATACTTACAAACAGCTGTAAAAACATCAACCAAACCTTGTCCGATCATAGATGTGCCAAATTTCACATGTCCATAATAACATAATATAGCACCTCCAACCACTTGCGCAATGCCTATAATAAAGACAAATAGAGTTTTCCACCAAGAACGTTTTGCTGTTATTGCAAATTGATAACGAAATTGTAATCCTTCGAAAGCCCATTCCATTCGTTCATCTTCAAGTTCAGCCATAAGATGTGCATATTTAGTAGATTTCAATTGTTCTTCTACTGCTTCTTTCCAATATTCAATTTTACATTCAATTTCATGTTTGTCAGAATCAAATTTCTTTAATTGATCTTTTGCACCTTGAATATATGCTTTGACAATATTTAGAAAGAGAATTTCAGCTAAAGAACGTGGTTGTTGTTGTTCTTTCTTATTCTCATCAGATGGTTGTACGGCATTGAATATATTTAACATTTCACGATAATGCATTTCTTGTTCAAGATGTTCAAGTGCATTAGTAAAAGCTTGTTTAGCATCTGCAATTTTTTCTTGATCAATCAAAGACGGAATTTGATTGTAATAGGTAATGAAATCAGTGTTATCAAGCTGTTGTGCAGCTTGTAATAATTTGAGACTACGCAATCGAGCACCAGACGGTTTCTTACCACATAATTCGTTAATACCAGCATCGATTAGATATTTTGGATATTCAATTAATGCATTTAATATTTCAATATCATTTTCAGCGATTTGTTTTTCATGTTCTTGATCTGTAACAGCGATTGAAACAAGCTGATGGTTCAATGGAATAAGAGTATAACGCGGTGCAACATTTCGTTTTAATGTAAGACATTGTTCAAGTCGTGTTCTTATTGAATTAGCAAATGTCTGATATTCACGTTGAATTTCTGTTTCATTATGTAGATCATCAATTTTCGAACAAAAATTTGCCCATGTTTCTCTCATTGAATCAAAACCTGGGCGATAAGTTTTATTATTACCAAAATCAATTGAATCTCGTTCACTGTGTACTAGATCTAAAAATTGTTTCAAAAGTTGATCTTTTGCTTCAATCTTTCGTACAAGACTCAATGCTTGTTGAATCATTTTTACTTCATTTTTATCTCGTGCAACTTTAATTCTTTCTATCAATTGAGCTTCATCAATGAATGAATAGAGTTCAGGTGGCATATCTTGATAAATCATTAAACATGCACTGCCAGGTTTACCTTGTCTACCAGCACGACCAAATGCTTGTTGTTCAATACGAAGATTTCGTGGAAGAAATGTAACAATAACATGTAATCCACCACGGTCATTAACAGCTGTAACTGGTTTCATATCTGTACCACGTCCTGCTAGATTTGTTGCAACAATAATATCACCTTCATGTATATCTTCAGGTTTTACATGTTGTTTTAGATCGCTTCGTACGTAGAGTTTAACATTTCGATGTTGTGAAGATTTCAATTTCTTTGCGATATCTTCGGCATCGGCAATCGTCTGACTGATAATGAGAACAGCACGTTTTTTCTGTATTGCTATCTTGTGACATTCTGCAGAAATTTTAACGAGCCACTGTTCACGAGATTGAGCAACTTGATCTAAAAAACAAAAGTTAGATGAATGCAAAAGGAATGCTGCTCTTAAAAAAAATACTTCTCACTGACCTGGACAAATTCTAAAATCACTATCCAAATACTTCGGTATAAACACAACATCAACTCCATAAACATCACGTACAAAATCTTGTGATGCTTTGGTTCCAATTGTACCTGTTACTCCATATAAATTCGGTTGATATTTCTTAAAATATGTTACATTTGAAAAAAATGAATCACACATTCGTTCAGGTGATAGTCTTAAATTATGTTTTAATTGTAGAAATTGATGTAAACCATCATTCCAATGCATATTAGTCTGTGAAACACCTGTATTCTGATAATCAACAACAACAATTTTTCCATCATCAGATATAACATAATCAATATTTTCATGCATTGAATACATTGCATGTTTACAACTTTGAATCCAAGCTCGTAATTTTGATTGTATATATTGTTGACGATAATTTGGATAACGTAAAAGATTTCGATCTTCTAACTTCTTTTTAATAAATGTAAGTATATTTATTTGACAAGATTCATTTTGTTCATTTTTCATAACAAAACAATCATTATCTTCATCATTATCACGACCAGTACTTGATATATGATATGTAGAAAAACAATTCCATATTAAACGAAATATTATAGTAAGACTTTTCATGCCAGGTGTTAATGAAGCTAATTGAGTATAACTATTAGATTGATCAATAAACATACTATCTACTTCATCAACAATAGCTACATCATATGGTCGATTTTGACGTACATTTTGTAAATAAAATTCTGTTCTTAAAAGATCACCAGCAAAATGATTGATTGTACCATAAACAATATCTAATGAATAATTTGTTTTATCATTTTCTCTACCATCTCGACAATTATGTGTACATGTAAGATTAAACATATCATAGAAATCTTTAAATTCTTCTGTATCACGTATTGCTAAAACTTCAGATGTTGTTATTATATCAACTTTTTTACCTTGTTTACCAACAGCTAAATATGCAGCTAACATACAAACAATAATTGATTTACCTTCGCCTGTTTTAATTTGTTCAATTCGTCCACCTGGTGTATTATGTGTTAGCATGAGAATAACAGATAAGATTTGTATATCACGTGGTAAATATTGTTTATGAAGACATGCAGCTCGTACGATGATTGCCATTTTATAACAATCAGCATCGGATGAAAAAGGATGACTGTGTGTTGAAGAATGTGTTCGTGACCAGTTTTTAATATCATGAACTGTCCAATGAGAAACATTGTTTGTATGATAATTCATAACTGTTTGAAATATACGTTTTAAATCAGAATGATTTGTTAGATTTGGATTTAAACTGATCAATTCTTCGAGTAAAGATTGTAGACTTTTACCTGTGCCTGATTCTTTTACAATTTTTTGTAATTCTTCCATCCAAATTCGACTATTATTTGGTTTTGCTAACAAACATTTAACAATACGTTTAACTGTATTTGATTCAGACAACCGATTGGTAACAATTGTTTCAATCAGAAGAATCGACGTTTTAAGAATGTCGAGATTGTTGAAATTATGAGGATTTAAAATCACACTTTTTATTGATGTAATATCACTTGCAGGCCATTTGAGATATGTTAATTCTTTTAAATTTTCATTTAGAATCGATTGATATTCTTCTAATGGTTCTGGCTCTGGCGAATAATGAAAATTGTGAAACGGTATTGAGTCTATGGTTTGCAATGAAACCCGTAGAAGATCTGATTCTTTTTGTTCTAAGCATCTTTCTGTATCAGTTCGTATTCTTGTTCGTTCAATTTCTGTAGTGGTATTTATGAGATCATTATTACTTGAAATAGGGTCAATTGGTGATGGCGATATATATGATTTTAACCATTCATCAGGAAATTTAAAATTATTGTCAATTTGATAAGTTACTAAAGAAAGTAATGTACTACTCCAATCAGTAGATGGTTGTGTTTGGATAACATTGAGAATTTGATCAGCGGATACTAGGGAAACAATTGTATCATCTGAGATGATATTAAGAAGATGTTGCAATTTGAGTTTTCGATCGGAAGGAGCAGATGATGATGTCCAATCAACAATTATAAATAATAACAGAGCTTTTTGTTCATAAGTCCAACCAATTTTGTGAAATTCGAAAAATTTTAAACATATTGATTTGAATAGGTTCTCCTCATGAAACGACATTTTTTAGTTTTAGTAAAGAAATAAAATGATCGATTATTTTTAGGTCAAATTTCAGAATTTATACAGTGTCTATTAAGTCTCTTAAGGATTTTTCCATGTTATTGACAGAATGAATAAAATCGTGTTCTTCCTAGGATGCCGTCATGAATTTTTATACCATTTGAAAAAGAAAAGCAAATTTTATATGGGTTTATTTTTCAAAAGTTTTGTATTTGCAGAATGTCACATTGAAAAAACATTGAAAATAATGACACATGTTCTTTTCTTTCTGTTCTTTCGAATTTCTGTTTGATTTTTTTCAATATGGTTGATTCGAAGGACATAAGGTAAGGTGTGGGTAAGTGTCGGTTTGGGTGTACTGGTGCGAGAAGAGTCACCCCATACCGGATTACAGGATTCACTACCGTATGATTTACTGCCGTTGTAAATATTTGTTTGCAAATACATTTTTTTTCTCTATTTTTCTTTTAAGTAAATTATATGATTAAGTTAGATAACAGAGGTCCAAACAGGCCCTATTTTCCAGGCCTGTGCGGTCTGTCAAGTTTTTCAAGCGAATACGGTAATGATAAAATACTAGAAACGAGATGTGCAAATAGAGCACTAAGACTACTGCTCACTCCGAGCCTGACCTGCCTGTCATAGGCACCACCCACGGTTTTCAGACTAGTGAAAGTGACAGGCCCATAACTGCTTGAACCTCTGACTTTCATTGGTCTGAAGATCACGGGCGTTGCCTATGAGAGGCAGGCCAGGCTCAGGTTGAGCAGTAGCCTTAGTGCCCTGTTTGCACATCTCGTTTCTAGTATTTTATCATTATCGTATTCACTTGAAAAACTTGACAGGCCGCACAGGTCTGGAAAACATGGCCTGTTTGGACCTCTGTTAGATAAATCCAATGATCACAATAGATTTTTTTCTATTTTCTATATCAAAGGCTTATTTTTCATCTAAAAGATTCGTGAAAATAGATTGAAATCTAACTATAGTTCGTAATTAAATTCATCAAATGAAAAGAAAAAATTCTATTCTCTATGTCAAAGATTTATTTCTCATGTGGGTGGGGGTGGGTGGGGGTGGGTGTGGGTATGGGTGTGGATATGGGTGTGGGTATGGGTGTGGGTGTGGATATGGGTGTGGGCGTTCTAGTTCAATCTACGAGCGGTACCAACACCCACAACCGCACCCACACCCATACTCACACCAACACCCCAGACCCACACCAACACCCTACACTCCACACACACACACACATCAACACCCCACACCCACACCCACACACACACCAGCACCCCAGACCCACACACACACCAACACCCCAGACCCACACCCCTTTTCAAGAGTTTCCTACTTATGCATGAAACCTAAAAAAGAATTTTTAATTTGTTACAATTTTTGAAGCTTTCCTAGATTTTGTATCATGGACGAAATCCTCCTTAAGTGCTACAACACACGGTTGCTTTTCGTATGTAAACTGAATCAATATTTGAAAATAATAGATTAGATTTCAACAAAAACTCGATATTTATTATCCGTCAGATGCGTGATTACTGGTATTTTACGAAATTTATATCATTCAGGTATTTACTTGGTAATATTATTCCATAAAGTCTGTTATACTAAGTAAGCTGTGTTGACGTCCATAGACATATCAAGATAGCTATCTATTTATATAGAATGCAGATGTTATTTAATACCTTTGATAATATATAACGAATATTAAATTTCAGACCGAAGATAAATTTCTCTTCATGCTCTATTATAAAAGAGCTGTTCGATTAAATTATCATCACTATTTTTCATCGACGATAAGATGTTGCCGACGTTTCTCTTTGTTTTTGTTCTTCTATCCTCATCAAGTACCTTACGATTGGATGAATTCTTTCCATTTGGCCCTGAAGTAGGTGATTCAACTATGCGACCAAATGATGATGAGAGTGAAGGTCCCCTTCAACTGACATATGTATTCCCTTATTTTGATAATAACCATCGTCAAATTTGGATCGCCAATAATGGTTTATTCTCTTTTCTTTCACCAATCAGTCAATTTGTACCCGATCCATTTCCTTTAGCTAACGATAGTCGTCTAGTGGCTGGATTTTGGTCTGATATTGATACTCGAGGTGTACTTAATGATACTGGAAACAAAGTCTACTATAAAGTTTATGATAGTACAGGAGTTTCGAACTTTACACTAGCAGTATTTAATAAAACAAAAAATTATGTGCGAACTTTTTTTCTTCAACAACATCTTTTCGAGCCTACAATGGTTATTACTGCCACATGGTATCGTGTGGGCGCTTTCTCAAGTCAAACTAGTGCACTTAACACATTTCAAATTGTATTATCAACAGATGGAGATCGTAGTTTTGTCTTTTTTCTTTATCATGATATTCAATGGACGCAACCTTCGAATGATTCGAATAGGTATGCTCAAGCAGGCTTCAATGCTGGTGATGGAATTGCTTTTGAAATGCTTCCACATTCACGTACACAAGAAATCATCCGATTGGTAAATGAAAGCAACGTTAATATCCCTGGTTTATTTGCCTTTCGTGTTGATACTGATAAAATTAATGCCGGTGGATGTACTCCTAATGCATCAATGATTTCCTTTCGCCCTCGCATTAGTTCGCAACTTGGCTCAACAGCTCTCAATATTTATGGTCCATGTTTTAAGAATGAAACAAAAGTTAAATGTCATTTTGACTCTTCGTTACAAAATATCGATGGTATCATTATCGATGAGTTTCGAGCTATTTGTCTTACACCATTTGCATCTGTGCATGGACCAGTGTCAGTAGAAGTATCCATTGACAATGGAGAGACATTCATTTCCGCTGGTACTTTTACTTTTGCTCCGTTACAATACGGTTCTGATGAAGTAATTATTGAAACTGAAGACGGAGACAACTTACTTAGTGTCGAGCAGTATATTAAACTCCAATGGCATTTTTCTGAAATGGTGAGAAATACGTTTCCTAATGATACAAAAATTGACATTGAATTATGGAAAGTAAGTCTCAATCATCAATCACAATTGCAAAAAGATAATACACCTATAATGCTTGTACAAAATTTGAATCTTACTAAATCGATTCGTATTCAACTACCTTCGAGTATTTTTGCTCTTTCGACATGTTTTATTCGAGTCGTTGCTCACTTCAATGCTCAAATATATGCTGGATTAAATACAGGTTTACTAATCGTTAGGAGTCATCCATCATTAGCTCCCGAACTATGTCAAACATGGGCCGTACAACAACCTGAACCATCAATATGGAACAACGACAGTCTTCTTTCATGTCCAATGACACGTTGGCAAGCGATAGCAGCTGGTCGTTGTTGTTATCAACCCGATCGACAATGTTATAAAGGTAGTACGAATCAGAACAATTGCTGGCTTCATCAAGCTCGTCCAGGACGAGATGAACCATCAGCTGTCGAATGCTATGTATCAATAACTTCAAATTCTCATGGCGCCGGAGCAGAATGTTGTTATGATGATAATGGAACAATTATTACACGTGGTACAGGTGCAGGAACTGATAATCGATATCAACAAACAAAATTTCCTGTTCAACATTTTTTTCATGATACTGTACCCTACTTACAATGTTGTATGATGAGCACATATACGGAAGCATGTAATAAATATATGTATTATCGACCACCACGAAGAGGTTCTAATACGATGGGTAGTAATGGTCAAATGTGGGGTGATCCACATTTCGGAACACTCGATGGAACCTCATATATTTTCAATGGTTATGGAGAATATACTTATCTAGCCATTAATAATAATACTTCACCATCCAATGCCTTCAATGCTAGTGATCAAACTTATATATTTATGTCACAAATTCGAACTATTCCAATATCGTTCAGTAATGTTACTGTCACAAAAGGTTTTGCTGCTCGATCTAACAATGTCGAAAATCAATCTGTAAGCATAACTATTTCACGTCGTGAGCATCTTGTTTTACGTCGTGGAAATGAAATTCTTGAATTCGAAGATAATATTAATACACTTTTCTTTCCTGAAATGACTATTAGTCGACTTGATGGTAATAATAATAGTCACTTCTCTCTTTCATGGACTATTGGTGTGACTATTGAAATAAATGTAATTAAAATGATGTCACCATCACAACAACTGGTGCTTAATATAGCTGCATCAGTGGCTGGAATTTTTCGTGGAAAAACATATGGACTATTAGGTACTTATGATGGAATAGAGAATAATGATTTACGAAGTAAAAATGGATGCATCATAAACAGCAATGCTTCACTTGAACAAATTCATAATGATTTTGGTGTTACTTGGTCTATTGATCCATCATCGTCGTTGTTTTATTATGAATCACATCAATCTGCCAAATTTTTCGAAGAAAAAAATCGTGAATTTGTTCCATCATTTATTGATCCCATAAAAAACGACAATTCCTTAATTCGCTCTAATTGAAAAATAAATGCAACCTCTTCACCTTCATCATGGAATCCAGCTCAACGAGCATGTTATTATGATTCATCTATGACTAATGATATTAAATTTGGTCAAGCATCACTAATGGCTGGAAATGAACTTTTATCGATTCGAATGCATCAAAGAAATCCACCTTCATTCAGATCATCGCTTCCTCTTACCATGACTTTAACACATGGTGCACACGTATATTTAAATGTATCTGCAACAAGTGAATATCCATCACATGTTGTCAAATTGTTTGAACTGCATCGACCTGAACATTCTACATTTAACTATAATACAGGTATCTTTCAATGGACAGCTATCAAAGGGGAGCATTATTTGAGCGTTGAAGCTCTTGATGAAACATATAATTTAAAATCAAAACATGATATCACTTTTTATGTCAAAGTCATCGATGATGGAATCACTGCTGCTCCTGGAAAGGGTAGTAACAATCAAGTTAATGAAGTTAATTTTATCATTTTAATTATTGGACTGAATGTTATTTTCTGTCGATAGAAAAGCACTTTCATTAATGATATTCCAGAATATTTAATGAACAAGTGAATTTATTTTATTGATAGCAAAGACGATTACTCTATTTTAATAATTTTCTGCTTGTTCCGATTCCTTCTTCTTGAACAACAAATTGCTTGATATTTTTTTTTTTTGATGTTATTCTAAAACAATGATTCCAAATAAAATAAATAAACGATATTGCAGTTTTATTCATTTCATATTTAGTTTTTGAATCAAGATCGAACCAATTAATGATCCTATCTTGTTGCAAAGACACCAATGAGGAAACATAGTAAGTAGGATGTGAGTTAAGAGACGTCAATACTACTTCGTCTTGACTCACGCTCGATCGAATAAATCTTATAGACGTACTCAACTTGTACCAGTCAGCATTACATTGATTTGAAGAGAAAAAAACAAAATATACCTGTCTTAAGAATGAGTTGGATGATTTACATAGTGGATCAAAACTTCTGAATTTTTATTATTTCATCGTAGAATCAACCGATAGCTCAGTATAAAAAACGAAAGTATCACAACCTTTGATTTGAAATACAAAAAACTCTTTTTCTTCAATAAAAATAAAAAAAATAATCATTGACGAATTCATCTGTTTAAAATATTATGCTTTGAGAATTTCATGTGTTCAATAGAAAAAGCTGGTAACGAAATTCTAGTAAGATTAAAATGTGAAACACGACGTAGCTGCTCTTGGCAATCAAATGAAAATTATTTTATTCGATCTAGGCTATGGAATGTGAATGTGTTTTTTCTATTCTCTCGCACCCACACCCCACACCCTCAAATTCGACGAACAGAAAAATTCGAAAAAGCATTTGAAAATTTTCTTTTTTATTAATTTCTTATTTTATTACAAATTAGATAGAAATCTTGAATAAGTTGATAATGATGCTCGAAATGTAGCATGTATTGCACGTAACGAAGAGTTTCATGAATATGATAATCGAACAAATTATGAACCAGAACAATCAAAATATATCGTATTGAAACAAACAAAACTTTGTTTTTATTCAATGAAAAATTCACTTTCTTTTATTATTTTTTTATTTTAGGGAAAACGGCAAGAAATTTAAATCATCTATATAAAGGTTCTAATGCTAAATGACAACATGATTTATATTGTGATTATTAAGACGAATCAAGCTCTTGTTATTTAAATTATAGAAAACAAAGGCGTGCTCTTTTCAGAATAGTTTTTGGTGTGGGTGTGGGTGTTATTTTCAGTATAATACTCCCACTCACACCCACACCCAAACATGATATGCATAGGAACTATTGACCATCTTTGAAAGCATTGTCTGACAGTTTTATATAGAGAAGAAAATAAATCTCACGAGAAGATCGATCTCACCACTTATGTAAACCTTTCCTTTTTGCTGATGGAATGTTCAGAATAGTAGTGAATTTTGTTGCCCATATATTTTTTCAATATTTATTATCAAGTATTCATATAATTCGTCATATTAAACTGTCATTATTGAAAATTAACTCACTACAATCTGTTTTGTATAAATAATCCAATTTAAAATATTGAAATTTTATATTAAAAAAAATTAGACAGACCAGACAGCCTGCCTAGCCTGACGCAGGGTTCCACCTAGCCTAAAGATCGTGCTCTGTATCGGTCACAAACAGGCAGACAGGCCATATAGCCTGCTTAGGCTCTGCTATAACTTCATAAGACTGAAAAGATCACTGCTTGTAGCAATATGACCCAATCGAAGCGGTATTTGGCATTTATCGATAGAAAGGTCGGGTGTGGGCTGTGGGTGTGTGGGTGCGAACAAGTGCTATACCAACACTCATACCCTTACCCCACACCCTATTATTTTATATTTAATATTAATTAATGCTCGATATAATTAATATAAATAAATATTTATCGTCATTCTCTTAAAAGTTTTAATAGTTCGATAGAACAAAGTGTACTGATGACAAATATCATCTTATTTTTAAAACTTGGCGGACATACTGGCTTTATTGAAAAAGTAGTGTCTTGTTGTGAAAATTATAGTAAAAATGCGATCTTTCAGCCAAATCGCAATTTGAGCCCATATCCTTTTATATTTTTTTTTGTTGTATCCTATGCCATATCTACTTGTGGGCGAAACTTGAGCACAAAAGCTTCTTAGCAGCTGGAGAGGTTCCCTCGTGAGATAAAGTCTGATAATCATTCATTCATTCACTTCATATGATCTGTCCGTCCTTGTTTCAGTCGATACATATTCTTCTCTCTTCTTAGTAAGCACATATATTCAATAAAGAAAGTCAGAGTCCACTATTCAGGCATTTACCGAAGTTTTCATCCTCTAGATTTAACAAGAAATAATTAATAAAATGGAGAATAGTAAAGAGAGATTTATATGATTAGGCTATTGATTGATTGTTCTGGAAACTAATGCGAATTAGAACTCTACATCGAGTCAGGTAGGTAAATTCAACAAGTCTTCCATCTGATTTGATAGTACAGAGGAGCCGTCCAAACTGTATTGCATAAACAAGGACTTGTCAGGTTTACCAATCTGACCCGATGCAGGGCGCTGATGCAAATGACTCTTCTATAATAAATACTGTGTAAAGTAGGCTTCACTTTTTTTACTCCAATATTTGACCTTAAAAAAATCCAATGTAATAATTCAATAAATGAAGATCACGGTTTCGATTAGCGAAGAACGACTACAATGTACAGAAATTCATATAAGCAATAGTAATATGCACTTTCATTAATAAATAAATGACTCACTCTATAGCATAAGTTCATAGGAAAATCAGGGATTGAAGAATTTAGAAAGGTTCTATAGTTTAATGCTCTTCTGAAGAATATATTCGTTGCCACAGGGATATCAGTAATCGAGCTACAGGTTTTAATAGAAACTATTCTATTGTTTTTATCCTCAAAATAGCAATAAAAATTCTTAAGAAAAAAAGAAAAGGGTAATTCTTGAAATGTGGAACGAATGAAAGTCTCGATATTCATGCAATCATTGTTTCCATTTTTATTGGCAATTTTTATTCCTTTTTTTGTGAATAAAATAAAACATTAGGATACTATCTATCAAAAATCTAAAACATTTCTTCAACAAAATAAATATTTCTATTGAAGATATGATTTTGATGACAGTAATCCATTTACTTCTTCTTCTTGCGCCTTTATCATCATCAATAACTACAAGTTTCGAACAATTTGGCCTCAAACTTTATTCAACTGTTAGTCAAAATAAGAAGAATGAAAATATATTTCTTTCACCAGCAAGTATTTCTCTTGCAATGTCAACGTGCACAGTTGGTGCTCGACAAGAAACATTAAATCAAATGTTAAAAACATTTGAAGTGTCATCTACAAAACAATTAATAGAAACAGCTGAACAAGTTATGCATATCTTTTCTATTGCTAATCAAGATAAACAAATTCAACTTAAATTAGCTAATTGTCTTTATGCACAAAAAACATATCAACTTCAAGAAGAGTATTTAAAAATTATTCAAAATTCATTTAAAGCAGATATTAAACTTGAAGATTTTCAAAATGAAGGTGCTCAAGCTGTTCAAAGAATTAATGCATGGGTGGAACAACAAACAAATAATTTAATTCGAAATTTACTTTCAATAAGAGATGTGATACCTAATACAAGATTAATAATTATTAATAGTATTTATTTTAAGGTAAATATCAATTTTAATGAAACAAAAGTAATTTGTTTCTATTAATTGAATTATATGGAACATGGATAAAAGAATTTAGTAAAGATTTAACAAATGCTGATTTTCATGAAGCGAATGGTAAAATTTCTAAAGTAGCATTAATGCATCAACGAGAGAAATTTTTTTATGCTAAGAATAACGATTTACATATACAAATTGTTCGTATACCATATAAAAGTGAAAATAAAGATATTGAATTTGTTTTTACGGTGATTTTACCTAATCGAGAAGTTTAATTAGATGTTGTGGAACAAAACTTAGCATCACAACCTGATTTAATGCAAAAATTATTGAGTCATCAAAATATAAGAACAGAAGAACTTCATTTATATTTACCAAAATTTAAAATGGAAGCTACTTTTGAATTAAGTGATATGCTTCAACAACTTGAAATTAAAGATGCATTCAGTAGTCAGAAAGCAAATTTTGCAGGTATCATTAGTGAAAAAAATAATCAAAATCGTTTATACATTAGCAAGGTAAATAATTTATTGATAAGAAAATATTAATCAATGTAATATTTTAGGTTATTCACAAAACGTTTATTGATGTAAACGAACAAGGTTAGTCTGTTGATAAAGCCAAAGAAAGAATTATTTTATTTTATCTTAATTGTAAAGTTTCTCAAGGAAAGAGAGTAATGATAGGACGAGAAAGATATGTTTGGAAGATAATGAATGTAACAATTGAGTTTAAATCTAATTGATCATTTTTGTTTTTCATTGGGAAAAAAACAGTAAAATATGGTATTATACTTCTTAACAATCCTTCTTCGGGTCTCTCACTGCATCCTATTGAACAACACATCTAATAAAAAAAAGATTCTTCGTTAAGCCTTGAATCAGTTTGTAAGACGTCTTTATTCAATCATCTGCGTTTCCTTATGTTAGTTCATGTTTAAATTACTTTATTTAATATTTACTTTTTTTATACTAATCGCATAACATGCGATGCAAAAATCTTTGCAAATGTGTCGAACACTATTAAACTATATTGGCAACTTCTAAACCAATAAAGTTCTTTTTTTCTTAGAAAGAGTAATATCTGAACTATAAATTTCGTAGTAGATATATTTTTCTATCACGAATCTCAGAAGAAGGACAAACCAAAAACCAAACATCTCTGAAAAAAGTTCTTGCAACGTTTCTGCAAATGCAAAAATCTCTATTTCTCAATTAATTAAAGTTACATGGACCAACTTCCAATAATAAATACACTGAAATGTAACACATCAAAAGCTCTATCGATACAAGTTTTGAAAATTTTTTAGATCTATTCTTGACTCTCAAATAATTGGTAAAATAGTCTTTTGTAAGAACTACTAGTTGGAAAGAACATTAGCCACAATCTCCAGAAACTGTGCATGAAGTGAATTCTTTGTGCGTTATTTTTTCGAAATAAGTCAGATCATAGAAACTCAGTAGAAAAAAAAGCAATTCAAAAAGAATTTTTTTCATTGCTGCAAAACGGTAAAGTACTAAGAACGACAAAATTATACGGTCTCTTTCAAAAAAAGCTATATTTTAGCATAAAAATCAAGAGTAAATTTAACTTCGAACACATCATTTGAAAGTGGATTCTTTATGCAATAAAAATCATCATAAAACGTGTTTTTTATATCATTTCTAATACAAAAAAAATTAACAGAAAATGATGTTGCACAATGGTTAAATTTTGAGAACATTTTTAGAGATGTTTGCTTTTTGGTTTTTCCTCCTTCTGAGATTTGTTCTAGAAAAATATCTCTGCTACAAAATTTGTAGTTCAGACATTGCTCTTTCCAATAAAAAAACTTCATTGGTTTACAAGTTGTCAATATGGATGGTCTAGCAGAGTTTGATATATTTACAAAGACTTTTCCATCACATATGATATCCTACTGCTTTCGTCTAGAATGAAATTACGAATCTAGGGCATTAGAGTCTTGGTGAACTACAGTGAATACTATAGTGAATTCAATAGAATCCGTTAAAATCAACTATCTATCGATTACTTCTCTTTTAACTAAAACTTACAAAAAATTGTGTTGAAAAATGATGTGAACTTAAGATTCTTGATAATCATGTCTTTTTATCTATATAATCAATAGTTATGGAAGAGTATGTAAAAAAAGAAATAAAAACTAATGTGAGCCACATAGAATTCCACAAAAATAATTTTAGATTTCATTGTTTAAATTTCTAAAAAAAAAAGATTTAAAATTTTTTCATGAAAAATAGCAGAAAAAGTCAGTAATGGACCTGTTTATGTTGAAGAATAAGATCAACAATAAGGTTATAATGAATTCTACTACTCAGAGTTCCTATAAAGTACCATGTTGAAACACATTTCAACAATAAAAATGTTGGATTGTTTCATCCCATTCGAAACTCTGTTGTCTTATCTGTGATTCGAATGACATCTTAATTAATGTTGATAGTTGTTATTCAATTGTTTTAACTAATTGATATTTTTATTGTTTTCAACAAAAGATCGAAAGCAATAGTTGTTACTGGTGTAAAACATACGCAAAGACATCGAAAAGCATCAAAAATTGAATTCATTGAATTTGACAAACAAGTTTATTATGTTAATATATGTTTCAATATTTGCGTATATAAAATTCATTCAAAACTTAATCAACAGAAATTTTATCGGTAATAATGTACATGGTTTTGATACATTAAAATAAAAAGATTGAATATGTTTATACTACATCTTTGATATCTATTTGAAAATATATTTAGCAATTCAAAGATTTTCCTTTATCTTTTTTTTCTCTTATTTCATTTAGGATCAGAAGCAGCAGCAGTATTACTGCATCAGTCCATCAGCCACCACACCCTATTGAATTTAAAGCTGATCGTCCATTTCTATTCTTCATGCGTGAAAGTCAACAAAATATTGTCTTACTTAGTGGCAGATTTATTTCACCACCAACAAATTCATAAATGAATTATTTCAAGAATCTTATACTTCATATTTGCACATCTTTTATTTCTGATCAAAATGACATAATAAATATTGATTAACTTTCATTTTATTATTTGCTTTTGAAAAAGTTTAAAAGATTTATTGTGCGACTTTATAAACGAAGTTATAAAATAAATATGAAAAATCTTTCAATTTTTAACACAACGAGCATAAAAGTGTACCTTAACATCGAAGTATCTACCCTAGTGAAACATCTTGTAAGCAAGATCTTGGAATCTTTGAATCGATAAGGAAGATCTCGTCAAGATCTTTAAAAGATAATTTGTTTTTATATATCTTAATCGTATCAGATGTATCTGTACCTAAGATTTTGAGTAAAATAAAAAGTGACATCATTAATTTATTTATATATTTAAAAACCCTTTAATCATTTGTAATTACTTTCCAAAAGTCAACCATGTTAACTGGTCAGCCTCATAGATATGTAAAAAACTTTTGCGGGTGTGGGTGTAGAAAAAAAAAGCTAACATCCTACACCCACACCCTCAAGCTCAAGATGATCAACAACCTGTCGAATATCATGTCATTGGTGAGTTCGAAGAAAAATCGTCATTTGATTCAGAATGTATGTGCGTGGACGATACTGTATGTTTTTAGCACACATAACCAGAGTATGGCTGAAGAACAAATATTTACGAATAAACGGTCTATACACCCTGCATTCTTATTTATTATAGTTATAAGTGCATGGATCTATCCTTATGCCAGTAATTTCATCACAAGAAATGAATCATAAATTTTTTACGTTGAAATCTTCTTTCACGACAGATACATTTTTCTTCTCTTTCCTCCGTAATTTTGCCACGTGAAGCGAATTCAAGGGCTTTTTGAGATATGCAGCACAATATAACTATTTATCTCTTCGGGCCTCACTTTTGACTCAATATATCAACAATCATCCGCGATCGCTGTATTCAGACTCGCTGTTACTTTCATATCTCACTAAAGTTCTATCTAGTGTCATATGATGCCTTCTACTACTAAATTTCAACCTTCTATTATACCAAGAGATTCTGATGGATTCGTGAAGTCTTTCACTTTGTCGAGTCGCAACTGTCCGGAAGCCACTGAAGCCTGTGCATTTTTTGAAGAATACGGTTTCGTGGTGATTGCAAACGTCTTCACTACAGAACAGTGCACAAAAACCATCTCAGATATATGGAATGTAATCGAATCCTTGGTGGGAGAAGCTGTGCGGAACAACGACTCACTATGGACTCCAGCGTATGTTCTATTCAATTAAATTGATCTTTTTCTCTTATTAATACGATTTTAATCTATTCTATCACTTTAGACTCTGGGAAAAAACAGGTATTCCAGAAGAAGGTATTCTTGGTAGGACTATTATTTGGACCCGTCAAAGCTTGCTCAATCGACAAACTCCAGCTTTGCATACTGCTTTCGCGGCCATGCTTGGAACGGAAAATCTTCTAGTGAATCAAGATCGTTATGTAATGTTTCGACCTACTAGAGAACATCCAGCTCGTTCGACAACGACCAATTTACATTTGGATATGAATCCATGGGCTCATATTGAATGTTTGTTCTAATGTTTTTTATAATATTCAACAGCTGTTTTTATATGCTTTAGATGAGGATAACTCGCGACAACTGGAAATTCTCAGTAAGCTAGGTTATGATTCTGATGATGACTGGATCACAGAAAACAATGAACCTGGTTGCGCCAGAGTCGGCGAACTGCATGTACAAGGTGTGGTCAATCTTGCAGATAATCTTGAAGAAGATGGTGGATTCTGGCTAGTTCCTGGCTTTCATAAGTACTTAGCACAATGGGCTGCTGATCGCAAAGACTTGAGCAATATTTATGGACGCTTCAGTCAATTCATTATGATAGACAGAGATCACATTCCAGAGTTGTATGATGCTGCTTGTCATATTTCTACTCGTGCTGGCTCAGCTATTCTATGGGATCAACGTACAATACATGGATCGCGAGCAAATCGTAGTCTTCATCCTCGTTACGCTCAAATCTGCAAGATGTTTCCCGATGATCATCCAGCCATGACACCAGAAAGAGCCGAAAAACGAAGCAGAGCAATTTCGACAAGGCTCCACGCCGCTGACATCAATCCAGAGACTGATCTAACGCCTTTAGGAAGAAAACTCTTCGGACTTACCACTTAATTTGACAAAGATTATGGTGAAATAAATATGGAAACCTCGGATTTAAATCCGAGAGCTATGTGTACTCCAAAAAGTGAATGAGACAGATGAGTCATCCTAGAATGTGTGGAAATAAAAATGATCCTGGCAAACCTTTTCTATAAATACTTGATTTCTATTGGCTACTGCTCAACCAATAGGATTTCGGGGCGAATACAGCTCAGATTTGAACTCTTCGTCTTGATTTACCCTAAGAAAGTCGTCTTTCCTATAACTTGATTTCTTTTGGTTACTGCTCAACCAGTGAAATTTTGAGACGAATGGAGTACAGATTCGAGTTCTCCGTCCCAGAAAACCTCGAAGTATAATCTCTGCCATCGGAAGATGGAGCTTCACTTGCCGATCAATTGGAGCGTGGACAAAAATAGAACCGATTTCCGTTTAAGTATCCTTGCAATAGGTGAGTTAGCCTTGTTGTTTCTTAATGTTTTATATACCATTTTGTAGCTCGTGAAATTCTCTATCGAATGATATATAATAGTTGGGGTTTTATTTGATTATAAGAGGAAAAGATTTTTACGAAAACCGGGATAGACCTATGTTCACATAGGAAAGCGTAGGGAATAATAACTATTTTTGCAATAACTCAGCAACAACTCGGCCAATCACTCTCATCTTCTTCTCTAGACCGAGATATTGTTGAGACAAAACTATGTAGAAAATTTCATCGCGATCGGACTCTCTTTTCAAAAGTTATCGTGTAAACGGTCGGACGGACACACCGACCGATTCTAGAGTGTACTCACTTTTTGAGTACACAAAAACACACACTTGGAGTGCAAAAACTTTTAAAACGCAGCAAGCGCATGCTGAAATCATCAAAAAAGCCAGCGAACACTTGCCAATTGTTCACAAAATGTGGCTTTTGCACTGTTTTGCGAAAATGTCTCATTGAATGACAAACCCCACTATTGCAATAGATCCTCGAAAACTGAAACTTGCAAAAGGTTACACCTGAATCGAAACTAATCAGGCGCTAACAATTTCAGCTAAGACTTTTCTGGAGTAAATGATAGCATATGGAAAAAGACTAAAGACCACCCTCAACAGAAGGTAGTGTCATGCATGGATTTGATGCAGAAATAGAAAAAGAAATAAATTCATCTTGTACTTTTATAGGAATTGTGTATGGTAAGGGATGCTATTTTTCTGCATCAATTGAATACAGTCACAGCTATGCGATTCCAAACACACTGGGTGAACGGTATATGTTTTTAACAAAAGTTTTAACTGGAAAGTCAGCGATTGGAAACTCATCAATGAAAGTACCACCAGCCGGCTATGATATAACGGCTGACGGAAAGAATATATTTGTTACTTACCATGATGCACAGGCATATGCAGAGTATTTAATTGTATATAAATAGATGGTCGAATGAACTGATTTTAGCAGCGAACATCACTCTATGCGACTTGATTTTATAAGAATTTTTGGTTTGTTTGTCAAATATAAACACGACAGCAATCTTTACAGCACAGTAATGGCCACATTTGCAAGACTTGAGGGTGGGTGTAGTTGTCGGTGGATGTGGAAATGCATGTAACTGTGGGGTTGGTATGAGTCGGAGCGGGTGTGGGCGGGTAAGGATTTTTTCTTTACCCATACCCACATCCTTCTTCGTTCAATAATGAAGAATACGGAATCAGAGGATATACCAAGTGAGTATATTATTTATGAAAGAAACAATATCTATGAGCTTAATTATTCGATCATTTTATATTGTAATAATGTGCTTCAGTAGAGTGATGCTGTTCTATATAATCGAAATTAAACAAATAGAAGACTAGAGTACTGATATGATTGCATACCCATGTCGCACATTTATTCTCAGTACCGCCGGTATACCGCGTTATTTGAAAACATCGGTGATATACCGGCGATTTACCGGCAGTAGCTCTTAAACTCTCCGGTTCGCATTGTAAATGCTCACAGAAGTGCTTTTCTATCAGAATTCCAATATTTTATAAAAAAGAATTCATATTCACTCAGAGAGAAACCATTTTTTAATACATTTTACTTATTTTATTTTTTACAGCACCCTCTTTAATAAAACATTTATCTCGGGATTAGGACCAATTTAGGCTCTGTGGCTGGTACCGGCAGCTCAAGCGCATCGACAATATACAGTATCATCGAAGTTAGAGCGATTTTGATAGTTTTAACAGACTTTAAAAATGTTCAGCTGTTTTCACATAAGGCATTACGATATTCCATCTTCAAAAAAAACCGGCGGTATACCGTCGATATAGCGCACATTATACTGGGCGGTCAACCGGCGGTTTTTCTCCGGTTTGAATCACATGGGTACATTAACGTGTAGTTAAAACATTGTTCGATACGCATCTTTATTGTCTATTTCAATATTAAAGTGAGTATTTGAAATGTGAAATTATTTTAAAGAAATCTCTTAATTCATTAGTTCATTTAAGAGTCGTTCTATTTTTGATTCCATATCCATTCGATGTTCATGCCAATTGGGTAAACATTTTTCATAGATAGCTAGTGCTTGTTTGTAATTATCGAGTGCTAATTTCGGTTTATCGAGATGCCCGTAACTTTCACCAATACGAGAAAAACTATCACCAATCTCTACTTGATCTGGTGATAAAAATTTCATACGCATCCAGCAGCAGTTCATTTCGTATGCCAAGGAGAGTTCATGATAATTTCCATTTCTTTGAAGTTGACTCATATAGAGTAGAGTGTCAGCAATTATAGGATCGTTGATAGGTAAACTCCTTTCTCTGATGCATAGACATCTTTTGCAATTTTCAATAGCACGATCAAAATCGCCTATTGCATTCCAAATATTCGCAATCTCTTGTAGACAATCAGATATTTCAGTATGATTCGTGGTACAATATTCTTCGAACATAGATAGTGCTTGTTGATAAAAATCAAGAGCATCACCATATTTTTCTTGTTTATAGAGTATGTCACCTATTTCTGTAAGATCTTTGGCAATCATAAAATAATCGAATGGTTGGTTTTCCTTCCGAAGTTTTAATACTCGATGTTGCATGTTCAGAGCTTTATCGTAGTGTAATTGCGCTTTAAAAGCTCCACTTATATTACTTAATAGAGTGACCACGTCCGCATAGGTAGAAGGATAAGCTCCTTCATAATGTATCAATGATTGTTGATAGAAGTCAATAGCTTCATCATATCGGGCTTGCGTATACATCGTGTTACCCATATAACAGAGAGTCATACCAATCTCTGTATAACTGCATGTAGAACATGTTTCGCTGAGTGCGAGTGCTTGTTGTTGTAATTCGAACGCTTTATCATACTGTTGTTGTTCATATAAAATACGTGACATGTAATTAAGACACCAAATCGTACTAGTATCACCATCCGGATACAATCTCTCATAAATTTTCAATGCCTTTTGCTCCAGATCGAAGGCTTCATCGTACTTCTTTTGCTGTCGTAGAACATAACTGATCTGTTCTAGAATAACGGCAATCCCAACTTGATCAGATGAGCAGTATTGTTCTCTGATGGACAATGCTCGTTTATAGACTTCGACAGCTTTATCATACTCATTTAGACTCACTCGAAGATCACCGATATTTGTAAGATCAGTTGCAATATGTTCATGATTTGACGAACAATGTTCTTCTCTTATCGCTAATACTTGTTGTCGATAGAGAAGTGTTTCTTTATATTTTTCTTGATCGTCAAGTATATCACCGATAGTACTAAGGCAAGTAATGATGTCATGATAACAGGATGAATAAAACTTCTGATAGATTGCAAGTACTTGTTGATACTGATCAAGTACTTCATTGTACTTTTCTTGTTCCTGAAGGATGTTGTTAAGATTATGGAGAACGAGCGGATGGTCTGATGGATATTGGCCTTCTCGTATTTTGAGTGCTCGTTTTTGAAAATCGAGTGCATCACCATATTTTCGTTGACGACTAAGTGTATCACTAATGTTACAGAGGAGAACGGCAAGGTCGTCAAGGCCAAATGGGTCAAATGTCTCTCTTATTTCTAATGCCAGTTGATAAAAACCGAAGGCCTCATTATGTTTTCCTTGTTCAACAAGAGTAATACCAATATCATGCAATTGGTCAGCTATTTTCACATGATTCAATGGATGGAGTTTTCCTTGAATTGCTAGAGCTCGTTGTTGAAATTCAAGAGCATCAGCAAGTTTACCTTGATTACGCAAACTAAGACTAATTTCAATGCAACTAGCGACAATATCGGTATGATTAGGTGGTAAACATTTTTCTCTGATTGATAGTGCACGTTGTTGATATTCAAGAGCTTCTTGATGTTTGTCTTGTGAAGATAGAACGGCACTAATATCACTTAGATTGTGAGCAATATGTAATTGGTCCGAAGGATAGCAGCTTCCAAGTCTTGCAAGTAGTGAATGGGCTTGTTGAAAGAAATCAAGTGCCTCATCATATTTTCTTTCGTCCTCCAATACATAACCGATAAAACGGAGTGTCTGAGCAACTCTAACATGTCCTGAAGGATAATTTTTCTCTTGAATTTCTAATGCTTTTTTATGATATTTCATGGCCTCATCGAACTTTGTCTGCCGGCGGAATACATAACCAATATCATTAAATGTATCAGCAATGTTGGGATGATCAGAGTGATAATAGTTCTTTTGAATATCCAATGCTCTTTGATAGTATCCTATGGCTTCATCGAACTTTTTTTGATTATCTAGAATATCACCGATACCGATCAAATTATGAGTGATGTCACTGCTAGGATATACACAGTATTTTTCTAGTATCAAAGATGCTTGCTGATATGATTCGAGGGCTTCATCAAATTTTTCTTGTTCGGATAATACATCACCTATATTTTGAAGTGTAAAAGCTATACTCACATGACCCAAAGGATAGTAATTATTTTGCATCATTAACGCTTGTTTATAATGGGATAAAGCTTCTTCATATTTTTCTTGATAGTTTAGAACATCTCCAATACCGTTCAATGTATATGCTATAGTGGCTTGAAATGACGAATAATATTTCTCTTCTAAAGCGAGTGCTTGACGATGAAAGGCCATAGCGTCATCAAGCTTTTCTAATCTACATAGAACACTACCAATAATATCTAAAAGACGGTTAATATCAATATGACCATAGAACACATATTGTTTTAGTATTGTCAATGATTGTTGATAGAATTCTAAAGCAGAAACATAGTTCCTTTGATAATAGTTAATATTACCAATCGTATAAAGATTGTCAGAGATAATCATATGATCAATTGGATAACGTTTCTTTTCCATTTTTACTGCTCGATGATAAACATCAATAGCTTCATCATATTTATCTTGTCGAGAAAGAATATCTGCGATGTTATTGAGTGTTAATGAAATTAACACATGGCCAAAAGGATAGTATTTTTCGTAAATTGCGATTGATCGTCGATGAAAGTCGAGAGCTTTATCGTAATTTATTTGCTCACGAAAATAGCGCCCAATAGAAAACAGACACTTAGCAATATCAATATGAGAACAATTGTAATATTTCTCCAAAATTGCAAGTGCTTCTTGAAAGTGTCCGAATGCTCTATCATACTTCTCTTGCATATAGAGAATATCACCAATATTTCGTAAACTAGTTCCAATATGCACATGATGAGGAGAATAATATTCCTTACGAATTTTTAATGCTCGTTTATGAAAATCCATGGCTTCATCGAGTTTTCCTTCTACACTCAAAAGTTCACCGATATCAGAAAGTATCCGAGCTGAATCTTTGATACGCATTTGTTTTGGATTAATCATTCGTTTGTAAGCCTGATCATAATATTTACGTGCTGCAATAAATTCTCGTTTCCAATGATGAATTTCACCAAGACTATGTTCTATCCATGCCTGATCTTTACCATTTGAATGGATTAATAAGTGTTCAAAATATTTTTGTGATTGATCCCATTGATCCATGTCCAACATAAGACGTCCAAATATAATTTCAATACTTAAATGTTCGATTTGACGTCGTGTATCTTCAATATATTTTTCTAGAATAGTTTTTCCTTCATTCGAAATATCCATTTTAATAATCCAAATACTTTTATCAAATTCAATACTGTCCAAATGAAATATGACATTTAAATTGAAGAGAATATCTGCTTGATAAAACTCATTAGATTTATCTATGTCCGTAAAAATAATATTTTTGTCAAAATCTTCTGAATTACATTCAATTTCTAAAACAGCAGCAACCAAATTGCTTTGTCTTACTGATTTTCTAGCAAAATTCAATGCATTTGATCGAAATCGAGTTGCTGTAAAGAATCCATTGCTTGAAATAAGTTTTCCTTCATTTTCTTTGAATTCTTCAAGTTGTTCTCTCAATAATTTGATTCCTCGATAGACAATTAGATTTTCTTTTTTATAATGAATTCTATTTTGATTTTGATATTGAAAACCTTGTATAAGATCACTCATAAAATATCTCAACGTGTACAATTGATCCATGCCTTTTGTTTGCAATTGTTTCTTAATCATTTTATATGGAAATGATTTTTTTAAATACCATTGAATAACATTGTCTGAATGATAATCATGCTCGAATTGATCAATTAATTTCAAGTTCTTGAAATTATTTTGATAATACTGACGACATGAGTCGACCATTTCATCTTTGGATAGTTTATCATGTGGAAATTGTAAAATAATTTTATTAAAAAGTTGAAACCAAAATAAATCGGATGTTTGTTTCGATAGGTCTTGTATTAGATATTCATATTGATCAAAGAAACTGAATGTTTGAAATAATTCGTCATTAAATTCAATTTGTTCTTGAATTGATGAATATAAATTTTTTAGTTCAATGTAAAAACCGATGAATTTCAAATCTTCAACAATAAACGCATTACTTTGGTTTTTATCGAAATCGAATATAAAGATGGAATTGATTTGTGGGAGTGTATTAATCTGAGACAATATCTGAGAGGCACCTATACTCGACGTAATCAAAAATATTTTATCTTTATCAATTGATTGAATATAATTTATACAAGGCTGAATTTCATTGTAATATAGGTTATAATCATTTATTTGACGTAATCGTTTATCAATGTTTTCGATGTTATTGTATGAATAAATATCAGAATCGAACCAAATAATAGTAATACTTTCTTTGTTTTCTTTTCTGTCTACCATTTTTGATTGATTCTGTAATGCTAAATTAAAAAATGAAATCAATCGATTAATTTATTTCAAGATATTTTTAATTGCCCTAACATTATTATTTGTATTTTTCATCAATCGAATTAGTTTTAGATGAAGAATATCGATCCATTTTTAATTGTCAAAGTCGAACTGTACATCTCAAAATGAAATTAATTATGGTCCATTGAATAGGTTACTCAATACAGGGTGAATCCACCGGGTTTCGACCACTTTGTGGAAAAAAATTGTTTTTCTTTATTTTGATAGTCTAGTTAGACGGAACGTCGTCGAAAACGGTCTGAGGTACTAATTAAAATTCTTTTGAGTATACGAAGTACAGAGATCCAGATCATTTTTTAGTAACAACTCAATGCAGGATTGGAAATAATATTATTCAAGGAAGTACCGCTATAATTTCAAATAGAAGATATGATGAATTTTATACCAAATGAAAGCCCGTCAAAAATGTGATTTATCTATATTAAATGATAAGGGTTCTGCAAAACTTTATTATATCAAACATAACAAATCTCTAGAATGAGGGTGCATAAAAATGGTTTTCTAAGGAGATAATGCTGTGATTTTAAATGGAATCAATAACAAACTATATACTAAATGAATGCGTGTTAAAAATGGGATTTATCTATATTAAACAGTAACAGTTTTGCCGAACTTTTTATACCAAACATAAAAGATTTCTAGAAATTTTTGCTATTTTAGTATGAAAAAGTTTCTTTCATGAGACAGTTCAAAAACTAAATTTGATTCAAAACAGTGGTTTTCTACGAGGTAATACTGCGGAAATTTCTAGAAATCTTTTATGTTTAGTATAAAAAATTCGGCAAAACTCTTACTATTTAATACAGATAAATCCCATTTTTAACACGCATTCATTTAGTATAAAGTTTGTTATTGATCCCATTTAAAATCACAGCATTATCTCCTTAGAAAGGGTGTGGGTGTGGATATTGTTCTCCTCTTCAACACACACTTTCTTCAACTCTGAACTTATTTTGGATATCATTATGAGATCCTAATAATCTCGAATTTGAGGTTTTAAGATCGTCTTTTTATATGTGTCGCATAGATCATCAAGTTTTATACATAAAACTTGATGTTGACTATTGCAGATTTGTTTTTCATATCGACTGACGATCAAAACTAAATCTCTATTGAAATCTCATTTTAGTAGTCACACTTATTATATCCAGACCAGCATAAAAATTCTCCATCAAATGATGTGATCACTACAACAAGCAGAGACAAAAAGTTGTTGACCGATTCGTGAAGAACAGCTCAGATTGAAAAAATCGTTTGAACAAATTTTTCAAAATTGAGTCGTAGAAAATATTCTTCATGGTCGACTTGATATGTTTAAGTGGTTTTTAAGCAAAAATAATGGAGAGAGGGCGTGAAAATGTCCTTAACATTACTTATCCTTTCGAAGCAACTCAAAATCTATCAGCGACATTATTTTGATGCATGTTGGACTCCTCGGCAGGTAGATAAATGGGCACGCAACTCTTACAGATACTGTTGACTTATCATAAGAGATGAGAAAATAGTTATCTGGCCACTCAAAATCATCGTAAAAAGACCGAAAGTATGACAGAAAAACGTGCAGCTCTTATCATACTTCATCCAAGTGATGACTAAAAATGTAGTAGATGTAAGGATGAGAGTGAGTTTTGAAAAAAAGGAGATTCGTACTCACACCCTTTATATATGATGCTTAAAAATCTATTAGACTTAATTCACCGTATTTTGTGAGCATGTTTCTTAAGTTCAGTTGCAAACATCATTTTGACCAGATAACATAAAAAGAATAGAAAATGGCTCTCAGTGAATGAATCAATGCTTTTCTTTCCAAATACATGTATGATAGTTTTTCAATCAATATATAGGTTTTTTAAATAAGAGAAATTAATCTTACCTAGAGTTTTAAAGTTACAAATTTATATCGTATTATTTATTTTGATATGTTGCAGATACTTTCACAAAAATAACAAAAGTTTCAGATTATTTTATCAGATACGAACAATTAAAATTCATCTTCGACAGTATCTCAAATTACAGTTTTCTGTACCAAGATCCATGATAAGTGTTGAAGTATGAGAGGAGAACAGTGAATCACTCTTTGCCTTCTTTATAAGCTGCTGTGATAAGCAGGCAATTCTTTTTTCTATTCTCCATCAAGGGTGTGGGTGTGAGTGCTGATTAAAGAAGATTAACAACCAACCTGCGCCCACACCCACACCTACACCCGTGCACTTCTTAGCATACAGTAAAACCTCCCATAGTGAACATTTCTCTAAAGTGAATACCTCGTTATTATGAACGGTTCCAGGTTCGACGGAGCCATTTTTGCTGAAAATGTCCCTCTCTAATGTGAACATTTCCTTAATCTGAACAGTGAACACTTTTTTGTAGTTCCTTTTGCTATTAAAACCTCTCTAATGTGAATATGCTTTTCTGACCTCGTTCTCTTTCTCTACATCTATTTCTTGTGCACTACGATTAAGTGCATTTTATGAGTGATTCGACTACTGTATATATTAAATAAAGAATGACATCATGTCACGAGCTCACCTTACATGAAAAAGTACAATTAATTTATGACAACAGAGATGGTAATGGTTTGTCACAACGTAAATTGGCCGAAAAATATAATATTTCACTTGGTTCAGTATCAAATATTTTAAAACGCAAAACAGAATACTTAAAGGATTATGAAACAAATCAAAATCAAACTGTTAAACGAAAATCTAGAGATGTTAATGTGCAAACGCTGGACGAACAAGTATCTGAATGGTTTGTTCAACAGCGTGCAAAAGGAATACCTATTTCAGGACCTATATTACAGGAAAAGGCACGTGACATAGCTGAGTCATTAGGTGATCAATTTGCATCATTTAAAGGATCTAATGGATGGTTAGAAAAGTTTAGAGCAAGACACAACATTTCACATTATGTCATTAGTGGTGAAAGTTCATCTGTAGATGTTCAAACTGTTGATGATTGGATTCAACGTTCATCAAAAATTACACATGGTTATGATGCAAAAAATATTTTTAATTGTGATGAGACTATTTTGTTTTTTAAAACCATGCCTGATGACTCATTAACATTTGATCAAGAAGAATGTAAAGGAGGTAAAAAGTCGAAAGAACGTGTTACTATTTTGTTTTTGTGTGAGTTCAATTGGTGAGAAGCTGAAACCATTAGTAATCGGTAAATATCACTATTTTAATACTTATAAATATATACGTATATATATATGAAAGTTTTTAAAATGCTTTACAAATTTGGGTTTGTTTTTACTTGTAGGCAAAAGTTTAAAGCCACGTTGCTTTAGAAACTTAAATCCTAGTAAACTTCCAGTTGATTGGCGAGCGAATAGAACAGCATGGATGAACGTCAAACTGTTTGGTGAATGGTTATCTGTTTTAAATGAATCAATGAAAAAACAAAAACGAAAAATTATCTTGTTTATGGACAATGCACCATGTCATTCAATGGATATTGTCTTTTCGAAAATTAAAGTTACAATATTTTCCACCAAATACCACATCAAAGCTGCAACCGTTAGATCAAGGTATAATCCGTGCATTCAAAGCACATTATCGAAAATATTTAGTTAAACATATAATTGCTTGTTGTGCAATGACTCAGACACCAGATGATATCAAAATTACGTGTCTGGACGCCATTTATTGGATTGATGCAGCATGGAGAGCTATTACAGATGCAACAATATGTAATACATTTTGCACAGCTGGTTTTTAAAATGGTTGTTATGATGATACAACAACGTCACCAACCACATCTGATGATTCAACAACATATTCAGCAGATATAGTAACAGTAACAGGTGATGAGCAATGTGAAGAATTAGAAAAATTAGATGATTTATTACAACATGTCACAATTGGTGGTCAAACAATGAAAGCAAGTGATTTCATTGAATTAGACAAAGATATACCTCCATTTAATATATGGTTTGATAATTGTGAACGTCTTATGGCTAGCGATCTTATTGAATTCAATGATGATGATGAAATAGATGATGAAGATGATCGAATAACAACAGAATCATCACAAAAATATCGGAAGCAATGGAAATGATAAGAAAACTCCATTTATTAGCAACAGCACAACAACCACAGTTACATCCATTGATTAATGAAATTGAATCCAAATTAACTGATATTTACATTAGCTCAAAAGAAAAAAGGCAAACAACACTAGAAGACTTTTTTGTAAAAAACTAGATTTTTTGTTGTAATTGAAAAGTTTTTCAATTTAAGTCGTATAGATAAAATATATGAACAAGTGAGCAAATACCTAACCATTCATCTAAAACCGATGTGAAAGCAGATTTTTGGGGTTTTATCTTCATCTTACAACAAAACATGCTTCACCTCTCCATAGTGAACACCTCCGTAAAGTGAACACTTTTGTCCAGTTCCGATGATGTTCATATTAGAGAGATTTTACTGTACTTGTCTGTCACGGTCTGTGGGGGAGGGAGAGAGATTGGAGGTAAATTTCTATCTCTAAACACTTCAACACTCCTTTTGAGATCGTATTTCACAAAAACCTGATTGAGAAGACAGTAAGATAAGTCATGTAGTGAAAATTGGACAATATAGATACATTTATTGTATTCGATTTATTTCTCATTAAATAGAAGCGAACTCATTCTCCTTGAAATATATATTTCAATTGTCCATAGTTGCTCAGATTCCAAAAGAGCCTTGTTTGAGAACAACCGAGCGCCAAAATACCCATAAACTTCTTCTGTATATGTCATCCGTATAAAAAAATAATTGCAAAAAATTAGATTTTCGATCGATTGTAATCGTACATGTCAGCGATCACATCATTCTCGCTTCCTTTCTTTTATTACAATTGCTTTTGATAGTATGTTATTTGCAATAACATTCTTTTTCTGTTTTCTCTCAGCTTCCATGTGCCACACATACATGTGTGCTTTAGTTTTGTTTTTATTCTTAGTGCAGTGATATTTTTTTTTCTCGTGTCGTTGTGAGCTTTCACTTAGAAATGACCTGTACCTCGTCCGCAGAGGTTAAGAGAAACTGCACAATATTAAATGTATTTGAATAGAAATAAAAAACTACACAATGAAAACAAAGAACAGCGTGAAAAAAAAATCACTGTACTGATAATAAAAACAAAACTAAAACACACATGTATATATGGCATATGGAAGCCGAGAGAAAAAAGAAAAAGAATGTTATTGCAGATAACATACTTTCAAAAGCAAGTGTAATAAAAGAAAGGAAGCGAGAACGATGTGATCGCTGACAATACAATTCTTAATCAATAATTTACATAAAAATAATCATAAATAATCAGTTATATTTCTTTCAGTTTAATTATAATCAATTTACAAAAAATAATCCATCTTCTTGTGATTATTGTTGTGTAAATTCTCGATTAAGAATCATATGATTATCAGGAATAAAAAATCAAATTTTTGGTGGTTATTGAGGCAATTTGTTTTCCATGGCCAAAATTTTTGCAAATAAACTCTCTAATGTATTCTATCTAATTCTATATTTTCTCTATGCTTTATATTATATATTTTAGATATCAAACTTTCAACTTCAGTTGTAAAGAAGTAAGTCACTAACTTTCTTTTAATGATGCCTTGAAGTCTTCTGAAGCTTTTCCAAACAAAATCAGATTTCTTGTCTTTTGTTCTGAATTTTTGTGTATGTGCAGATGTCGTTAATAATCAAATTTATTGCTAATGTTAGTCCAAAATAATGCTTTCTAAAAAATGAGTTACCCAGCTAGATCAAATCTGTTCAATTGTTTATTAACAAATTTTGAGACTATAAAAAGCTTGACATCTGAAACTGAAAAGATATGTATTGACGATAGGATCTATTCACGTGCTTATTTTTGAATAAAAAAACTCATTGACTTGCCTTTTCTGATTAACTTCGAACAATCGACGAAGCAATGATTACAAAATAGTAATGATCGTAGTAGGAGAACTATCTTTCTCTTCAAGAGTTGCTCTGGAGAATTCATTACTAATAGTGCATTCACTTTCAACACGCAGAAATGAATGATGCATCTCTTTTCTGTTGTTTTTTTTTCAGAAAAGTTTCTCGTAAACTAACAGTCTCGGGATTTGAAATGATCCATGGTTTACATTTTCGTGATCTGCTCATCGCAAT